CACAAATTAATCCCTTTGTTTTATGTTCCAGGCCTATGGGGGTGCCTATGACGTGATGAGTTCAAAGCATTTAAGAGGAGATGCAAATTACGCCTGGCCTACTGCGGAGGTGGCGGTGATGGGTGCAAAGGTAAATCCATGCTGACGCTCGCACGGGCGTGCAGCAGCCGTCAGCGGCTTCGCACTGGCGCAGGGGTGGCCTCGCAAGGTGAAGACAGCCGGGATTTTCCCTGGAGCAGCTGCTCTGAGCGCATGTTGGTGTGCCGTGGGGGGGGGGGGGCTGCCAAGCAGACAGCTTTCCTCTCTGCGGGCTGGATTTCTGTCACCAACCTGCCGACTTTATCTTTCTAGGGCGCCGTCCAGATCATCTTCAGAGGAAAAGAGGCAAACGCAGAGGCTGAATACGTGGAGAAGTTTGCAAACCCCTTTCCCGCAGCCGTGAGAGGTACGGTGATCTCCCACATTGTGCCCCTTGCTTGAGTCTGCCATTGCATGTGGAAAATTTGCAGCTACCCAGCTTTTTGCTAACGTGCAAGTTATTTTGGCAAGACATTTGCATCTGAGTCAGAAAGGTGATGCTTAACCATAGCTTGTGCCTGTGAAGGAAAAACACAGCCAGACACCAAACACATTCTCTGTTGGAAGGAGACTGGTGAGATGTGGGGACTGTACCAAAAAGCGTATTTTCAATTTTGTAGATACTGGAAAGCGTCTCCTTAAAAGTGCAGGTGCTTTGACGATCTGTTTGACAGTCCTAGCTGCAGAGCAGTGGCCTTATGAAAGGGGCAGAGTCCGGTTCAGTTCAGTGGTGTTCCCAGGACTCTTTGGAGTAAACTTTTCAACTGTTCTTAGTTCTGAATTTTACTCTAGCTTTGAAGCATTAACGGTGCTCTGGGCGGCCGTTCTGTAGACTCCTGAGTCGGCGCTCCCTGTTTCCACTCCTGCTGACTTACACCGTTGATGGGTTTTGTGCTTCATTTAAGTCCCGTTAATACTGCCACAGAGCTAGGAAGACACAGCCAAGCTGTTTTCCACCACGGCCACTGTGTGCAGTGTCGCTCCCTCTGGCTTTGCAGTACACTCTCTGTTACTGCTGCCTGAGCCAGAAAAACCAGGCTCCTGCACTGTCACAGGGTGTCTCTTCTCATCAGTGCTTCCGAACCTTTAAACCAGACTAACGGTAGTAGATGGAAGGAGATGCTGTGTCTACAGCTCGGCAGTGATAGGTGCGGTACTCGCTTGTGTAAAGCCCCCTCCTTAACATTTTCTGGCTTGTTAACTTCTGCAAAAATTAAAAAAGTAGATGTTTCCAATTTAAAAACTATTGGCTGTTCCCTTTTCAGGCTGTTGTAACTTACTTTCCTAAGTTAATTTGTAATTTAACTGTTTATTTCAAATACTGTTTTGATTTTGCTAATTTACATTACAACCTAGATAGAGAAGGCTGAGGCAAACTCTTCATGGTTGGCTGGGGTTTTTTTTTGTGTTTGGTTTTTTTACAGGGTTTGTTGATGATATCATCCAACCTTCGAGCACCCGCCTGCGCATCTGCCATGACCTAGATGTGCTGGCCAGTAAAGCACAGTCCAGTCCCTGGAAGAAACATGCTAATATCCCGCTGTGAGTGTGAGGAGGGGCTTGGCCATGCTGGAAGACGTGGCCGTATTCTGAACACAGATACTCTCTGTTTAGTATTTTTCATTTTGATTTTGCTAATCAATAAATCATAGTAGATATATCATTTAATTTGGGGTCTTGTCAGTTCATCTCTATAAACCCGTTTTGGTGGGTTAATAATTATCAACACAACCTGCAGTGCCTGCTGCCAGTGAGCTGTTGCTGACTGCTCAAGGTCGAACGCTCTCCATAGGCCCTGGAGGTGGCTCGGACAGGCTGGGCTGCACAGCTGGGAAGCCCAACCTCTGTGGAGTTCAGGTCTAGCCATGGGTCCAGCTCCACTCCTGCACCACAGACTCGCAGAGAGAACAGTCCTGGGCTTGGAGTTCGGTGCCCTGGAGCCCAGGCTTTGCCGCTCTGACTGACCCGTTCTGTTCCTCCACTGGGCTGTCCCGAGTTGCAAGGCTATGTGCTGGCTGCAGCAACAGCTGGTCTCAGGTTGGTATCACTGACCCCCAGGCTGTGGGTGCAGGTGGGACAGAGGAGATGGAGCCCACCTCCTCGTGAAGGACAAGAGACAATGCGCCCAAATTGGAAAAGAGCATTTCTGATGGGATGGAAAAATTCTTCTCGCGCTCACGTGAGGGGCTTTTCTTCCTTGGCAGAGGGCTGAAATAGAGACCTCCAGAGGCCCCTTCCAGCATAATATTTTCTGTGATTATTTGCCAGACTGGCAAGGAATCACCGCAGTAGATGTTAATGCTGATCAGCGCTGGGCCTGTGCTCGCTCATTAGAAGCTGCGTTGTAGCTGCAGCCCCAGAAGGTAGCGAGTAACGGTTACCCTCGAGTTCAGCACTACTGCAAACAGCTGCCAAGCACGTGAAGTCCTGTAATGACCTCTCTGTTGTAAGTAACCTCAGTAATTAACGGCACTAATTATAAGACAGAGAACTATCCTACCTGCGCACCGCAGCTGCTTCTGTTCACACCCCAAGGACGTGCCTGAAGTGGAAGAAAGAAAAGACAGAGACTTCCCGGCAGCATCTCTTCCCAGGCGCGTGCAGCTGGTGCCCCGGCGAGTCCTGCCATGGAGCTTGGAGCCCGGATCTGGAGGGGGAAAAAACCCAAACAAAAATATGACAACACAGAGCAGGAGGAGCTCCGCGGGTTTTGTCATAGCTGGAGGCAACGCGTCAGGTTACCGACAGACTGTCTGCCCTGGCTGCAAACGCGTTCAAGCCGGCTGCAAGAAGGGAAGGTAAACTGAAACGTTACGCTGTTGGGGGTCATTGCGGCGCAGTGAGTTCTCAGTTCGTTGTGAGGAAGGATGGAGGCAGAGTTCCTAAGGCCCAAGAGGATTTTTCAGAGGTCACTGGTAGCTGGGCGTGGCTGGTGGCTGTCCCGAGGTAGAGGCAAACGCTGTGTTACGTGAAGTGATACACACTTAGTTTCTTCAGGCTGTCCAGAGCCAGGAGGAGACACTAAATAGGAAACCCAATCGTCATTGTCACAAAGAAAAAAGCACAGCATTTCTTAATTGTCTCCTAACCTCATTAGCTCTAGAAATGTCCTTCTCTCGTCTGTCCTTCGCCAGCACAGGAATTTGGCTTTTCTGTCCTCTTGATTTCCAAGCAGTCGGTCGCTCTCCCAGCACGCTGCTCTGGCTTCGCTACTCGATTCTCTTGAATTCCAGTCACCTGCAGAAACAACAGATGTGAAATAAAAGCCTTTCATTTCAACAGAGAGCAGTCTTTGAACTCAGAAGCCCGACAAGTTACTTACTGTGTTCCACAGCGCAGCAGGAGTTGAGCGTAACTTACGAGCAGCTGGAGGTCCAGCATTTGGGCTGTGTCTCAGGAGAAGTCCTGGGGTGCAGTGCAGACCTCGAATCCTATCCCTGTTCCTCACCTGCTGCATCTTGTTACTTTTTCTGACTTGGGAAAAGGTTTTTTTCCGACTTTTTCTTTAGGAAGTGGACCAGATGATAAGCAAGTCAGTTTTATTTCGCGCTACAGAGACGAAGTCATTCATAGGCTGGACAAAAATCGCACCTTTTTCTCCCAGACGTGGGACTCGCAGGAGGCCGTGTAGTTTCAGGGATCTGTACAACTTCCCGTAGCACAGCGGATCGTTAGCCCTTCCAAGCCTTCCCCACGTCCATTTCGTCCCGTGTGGTGCGGATGACGTGAGGTGCACAGGGCAGGAGAGGGACATTTTTCTCAAAACGCGTGACAGTTCAAACGCCCGTAAGTTTTAACAATGCAACTCAACTTGTGTGATGACTGGATCAGAGTTACAGCAATCTCGCAGTAAAACTCCCCACATCAGCCAAAAATACACCGCAGTGGAGGGGAAAAAAAGAAAAAGACCAGACAGGGTTTTCCTGCGCTCGATGGCTGACTGGGCAGGGTGTGGAATCTGGCTGGGAAGCCTGGACTACGCGAGAGCCACCTTTCAGTGCTTCTTTTGGCGGCTAAGAGATGGGATGACAAGGTGGGATGGCCCAAACGAGCATTCAAAAGCAAGTTATAGTGAAGAGGGTGCTCATCGTACTCGTGATTTTGAATAGTTTATTAAATGAAAGGTGAAGCATCAGTTTTAAATTGTACAAAAGGAAAAAAAAACCTCATATTGTAAATGTACAATTTACAGAATTACTAGCAAAACCAATCAAGGAGACACTCATAATACAAAAACCTATTGACTGCAAACTGAACTGGAAACCCATGGCAGGTACCGTGATAGTAAATGTTTGTTATACAGTATTCTACAATGTCAAATTAGGAATCAGTTTTCCACACAGAGGACTGTGAAGCACAAGGTTTGTCTGAGACTACGACTCAAACCGGGCAGCATGTGTTATGCTACTATGCTCACAGAATTACTGTGATGACAATTTAATGCAGCCATTCCTGCCCACCGTGCGGGGTGGACAGCAGAGGAAGGGAGGTAACGTTCTTTGATGAACTTCCAGCTACCTCTCAGGCTTTGCACATCACCCAGCCGATGTCTGAGCAATGGCTGAATTACCCAGTCAAACATTTTTGGCAACCATGTCCAAGAACTGCACGCGTTGTAAGAAACAAACCTCAGCCGAATGAAACGCTGGTTTGTTTTTAAAATCAGATTCTTTTCCCTCCCAGCAAGTAAGCACTGGGCATTAACGCTGTTTTGTTTTTCAATTAGTTCGTAACAGAAAAAAGCTCCGTGATTATTTTGCAGTTGCTAAAAAAAAAACAAAACCCACCTCTAAAATGGCTGTGCTCCAAGTGAGGCAATCTGCTTTGTATCTCAAATGCTAAAATCAGGAAGATGAACATTTTTGGGGCGGATTCTTGGAGATACTGGAGTCAGTGCAAGTTGTGGATGGCAGCACCTCTGACAGCGGGCCAGTTTTAACTAAGTAGCAGCTACTAGGCAGAGTCATAAACTCGAAGCATAATGAAATTCCAAATTATTGAAGACACTGAAAAATCTCTTCTTACAATGAATTAGCTGAGAATGTCTTGGGGTTTTTCTGATGTTTTTAACTTTTCTGAAAAATCATATGTCTTCTCGAAAGAATTACTCTCAAGATGCACAGTTAACACTGATAATGTAGCTGTATGCCATTGTAAGCTTAAGAACTTCACCATCTAAGCACAAATTTCTATGCAGCACATACAGTACTTCTAACTGGCAAAATTAATTTACAAAAATAGCGCAAAAGGGTATTTACGGCATGGAAAGTAGACTTTGTTTTATGGTACAGTTAAAATTGCTTTCAGTATGCTAAAGTGATTCCTTTCCCCCACCCTGGAATTACTTTTTTTAATAGGAAAGTTGCTGTTTATGTACCTTGGGTTGGCAGGGCTCTGAAGTAGGTAGTAAAAACAGCAAAGTGATTACTTGAGAACCATTTGTGTGTTTTACTGAGAATACTTTATTTGCTGGTATAAGTTGCTAAAAATGCACAGAGCAAGTACCAATAGAAAATTTACTGTTTTTGTGTCCCCATGTGCTATATAAAATGAATGTTACACAGCATCTGTTGGAAAAGTGGCTTCATGGACATCTCTTACTTTATGTCCCATTATAAATAAAAATAAATCTTCTCAAGAGTATAAAATCTGGGTTTATCATATCAGAATCTGAAATTTTTTGGCAGAGATGCACGTCATTAGAATTCTACCCTCTTCTATAAGAGTGTTCTTCTCAATGCCTATGAGAGGATATAAGCGTACCATAACGTTAACCAAATCCAGTGTGTTCAAAAACACTTTTCCGTAGCCAGAACGACCTGCTTATAGCGTCACTGCTAGTCAATGGCTGATAGGCATAGGTTTCATAAAAATGGCTAGCTTTTAAAACATAAAAAGGCAAATGTTAAAACTGTTTTAAATTGTACAGCAGAAAAATAAAGTTAAAAAGTTCTGTTTTCACTCAATGTTGTTTTCAGAAAACGTATGTAGAACAGTGTTTATTTTGACAGCTGTCTTAACAATTTAAAACTTCCTCCTCATCCAGAAAAAAAAAAGTCTGTATTAGGACAGTCAAGAACAGGGATACAAATGATTTTTTAGGTCAGCCCTTCTGAGGTGACTGGATTGGCCAACATTCCTTTGTGTCATTAAGAAGCTCCTCTTCTGCCCGTCACTACAAAAAGGGATTGACCTCAATCATTTGGTTAAAAATCAAACCGTATCACATCAAAAATGTGGTTTTTCATACAAGCTATCACAGTATATAGGCCTCTAGCTCTAAACAATAGAGTTCCAAATTTGTAAAATGTCTTCACCAGACTTCAGAACATAGGCATTCCAAATCCCTAGAAAAATGATTTAGAAGACATTCATTAATTAGGTGGTATAATAATCAAAAGAACCTCAGGTAAACAGCAAATGATACTGGTAAAGCCTTACTGAATCGTCCTCAATGATCGCTGCGGAGTCAAAGAAGTCTGGCCTCAGCTCAGCCCGCTCGCGCCGGTTTCTCGAAGGTGGCTGGAAAGAGGAGTCAGACGGCTTAGAACGCCCCTCGGTTACCGGCGCGCGACGCAGGCGCGTGACGCCGCAGCTACGGGCGCTGCCGTGGTTTCCTGTTCCTTCACAAAGCAGCTGCGCCTGGGCTGCCACAAAAGCTCAGGTGTAAGTGTCAGCCCTGATGTAGGAGAGCACTTCTGAAATTCACCCTTTATTTAAGGAATGGGGTAAAAGCTGATGGATTCTAAAGTAATTTTAAGTCTGTGCTTATAGTTAAGGACTTGCTTAAGGCTCTTGCTGACTTAATGGTGTTCTTGTATTAGGACTGCAGGCCAGACTGCATAAAAACTGTCTTTTAAACTGTCTTTATGCTTTCAAGTTTATGGTGAAACTCTAGCTCTGACGTGGGCAAAAGGCGGATTTGGAAAAAAAGGTCCTAAGACATCACAGTGTTTCTGAGGATTACAGCCCCTGTGTTGTCCTTCCCTAGGAACACAAGAGTAGACGTGAGCTTCACTGGCTGGCTGAAGTCCTTCACTCCCTTGCCTTGGATTGCCAGCAAAAGAGAGATTTTACTTACTTGATACTCATCTGAATGCTAGTAATAATCTCAGTACTCAGCGGCAGCAACTGAATTATTGCCTAACTTTTCTTCCCAAGGCATTATAGCCCAGTCCTAAGGTAACCTATGCCTTATTGCTTGGATATGAAAGGAGAAATATGAAAGCATAAAAACGGTGAAGCGTGTAACGCAAACCGATCCTTTCTCCCATTTTACACGGAGAGCATTCATCCAGCGTGGAGAGGGTAGGAGGGTTACGGTCTCCACCGAGGAAGCGGTGCCTGCAGTCGGTACACTACCACGACAGGACCGGAGGCTGCCAGCTGATGAGATGACCCGTCTGGGAGCAACCCCGTGTCAGGCACCGCCTCACACCTACCCACTGCTGCCTGCTCGCCCTTCTGCTGTGCCAGCACTGCTCTGCATGGCTGTACACTAACCAGACCTTGACGAAGGACCCGCTGCCCACCGACCTCCCAGCGGCCAAGCGAACCAGGAAGCACAAACGGAGCCGCAACTTGGCTGCATCGGTTTGACCAGAGCGTGGCTGCAGGCAGAGCTGTGTCAGCCAACGAGTTAATGATGGCCGTGACACTGTCACAGGGAAGGCAACTCCACCTAGAGCACCCTTAGATGACATTGTTTGCAAACCCCTCATTAATGTCAACCAACAACCTGAACCAAACATCGTTACTGGGCTTTACAGAGTCCACTGGTACTCCACGAGGCCGAGCAGCGGCTTTGTGTGGGGTGAGCTGGTCTCGCCGCTGTCCCCCACCAGCCCTCCCCGTACCCTTGCTGACTGCACGGCAAGTCGGATCAGCGACTTTGCTGGCGCTCATCTGAGAGGCCCGCGCTGAGACACCTCATACGCTGTAAATCATAACCTCATTCTCCTAGCCTGACACGTCCCAGGTGCACGATGGTGCTTCAGGCCCTTGCTGCTGCCCGAGACCAGAGCATCAGAGAGGAAGAGTGCTGAGCAATGCTCCTTGCGTTTCTGTGAAGAAAATCAATTGGGCCTGAGACTGCAGCTGTAGGTTCTAGGGAGTATTCGGATCATTTCCGCTCTTTAATGTTCAGACAACAGGAAAGCGGCTCAAAATTTTCTAAGTTTTTGTCTGCGCTTCTAAAATTCCTTTTAAACTATCTTTCATCCATTTTAAACTTGTTGTTAATAAGATTTACTGACCAGATCAATGACCATTGTGTCCTCAAATTCTTCGTTCATATCCTCTAGCTGACCTCGTGAGGACATCATTACATCTTCAAAGATGGGCTCAGCGTCATCTTCCATTAGACCTCGTCTGATTAAATAAAGAGAAAGAAAAAGTCATTTCCAGGCATTTACATTTCCCAACCATGATCTTTGTCATTAAAAACAATGCACAAATCCTATCCCTTAATGCCTTCACATAAAGCCTTATGCTGAGAATAAAGCCAGCACACTTTCTGTAATAGGAACTGGAAGAAAATCTTATGTAGAAACAAACCTGGCACTTGCAGAGGCTAAAGCAGGAAGTCTCATGTAATATCATTATAAACAGTAATTAAATTTGTCCCTAACAAGAAAAGGGCAATAACCTCACTGTGTTTGCTTGCCTTTTGCAGAAAGGAGTTACACTGTTTGCCAGGATCACTGGTAATCCCCAGGGAATCCGGCAGTGAATCCAAGACCAGTTCCTAATACTTCAAGGACTTGATCTTGCTAGAGACTCTGGCCCCCACCCAGAGAAGTGCTTCTGTGCCGGAAGACGTGGTGGGATGGGCACCAGAGCGCGCAGCACCTTCCCCAGCAGAACACGTCAGCATTCACCCACGCGTGTGCCCTCCGTTAGCTGCTCAGGGGAACGCCCTGGCAAGAGATGAGGTGGATGAAAGAACCTTAAACAGGTTCACGGGAAGACTGGACGACACCTCGGAAGGGTTTGCTGGGAATTACTTCACAGCCAAGGCACAGTGCTTCGTGGAACCCCCCCCGAAATGAAAGCAGTTGAAAGCCAAGAGAGAACTGCAGGGAGCTGTGCCACGTCTGTGGGCCCTGTTCACGAGGCACCCGCTTGTGGCCACGGTTCGAGGCAGAACCCTGGGCTAGAGGGCCCCACGGCCCGGCATCCATTGCAGCAGTACAAAGCTGTTACACTGCCTCCATCAACAAGAGTTTATATGTCACAGAAATTACCAGCAACAACCCAGGAAAGGTAGCACAAAATGTGGCACAGTCATCTACAACGGTTCTGATGCGGAGACGAGGATGCTCTGCACACTTACACTGCATGCCTTACACCAGTTCTCCCTTTCATGTAGTTCATTCCTGTCCTGTCCTTTCGATTCAAATCTTCTAGCTTCTGTTGGCCCAGCCATGATATCTGCATCTGGGGACTAACAAACACAAAGCAGCATTAGGACTGAGAACGCCAGCAGTGTTGAGCTGGCGATTTTTAGGCAGTATCTGTCTCCAAGTTTCATGTCTGGCCATGCTTCAGATGAAGGTATTTAAATCACATCCATCATGGTACATGTCTTCTGGATTCCCTTCCACAACTTGTCTCCTCTCACTGCATGTGCACAAAAAAATCCATTAATTGTTGCAATAAAACCAGCTCCATAAAATGCTAACATTACTCATTCGTTAGTGTGGCACGCGCCTGAAGTGGGAGCACTTCTAAAATTCATTTCATTAAATCCTCCTTCGCTGTCTCAGATCAAGCAAAGCATGAGCAAGAATGGATGCACATTAATCACTGACATACACTGTCAAACAAAAATGTCACACAAAGTGAAAACCAAATTGCTTTTAAATATATACCCCAGTCAGCGTCTCCACATGGGAACACCGGAAAGGCTGTACTTCCACCACCACCTACATCCAGCAGCAGAAAGCAATGCGTGCCACATGAAACAGCAGCAAACCAAGTGCAGCTCTCCAAGAGCGACACCAGTTTTTATTCCATTATGCAGCCTCGTACCCAAAGAAGACTGACATAATGAACTGGGATAACCCATGTGAAAACAACCTAGAACAAAATATTCTTCCAGACGTGATTAACCCCATTTGTTCAGCAACTGCCTGCTCTGTATTTATTTTATTTTTTAGCTCTCCTAAGCCGACCCGCAGGAGATGCATGTGGCAGCTAACTCCAGGCTGAAAGGAAAGCACTCTGCACGGCCAGTTCACACTGTGAACGCATACATGGAACCCGACTCAGAAGTAACGGAGAGGAGAGCGATGCTCTCTGCCTTTGCACAACAGCTCTCTGCTCGCCGCGTTCATCCGAGATCGCAGAAACAGAGGTTCAGGCCCAGGGGGAAGAGCCTGGCTGAGCTGCCCCCCAGAACAGGGGCAGGTTCTCCCATGGCTGAAGGCAGTGCCTGCTCATCAGGCTCAGGAGAGAAACACAGTGACTGGAAGCTGTTCCTCTCTCCATAACGAACTGCATCTTCACAGAGAGAGATTTAGCTTAGTGATAGGTGAGATCAGAGAGGGTCAGGAAAAAAGCTCTGCTTTGGCATTTTTCTTTCCCAACCATGATCTTTGTCATTAGAAAGAATGCACAAATCCTACCCCTTAACGCCTTCATATAAAGCCAGCACGCTTTCTGTAATATTAACTGGAAGAAAATCTTACGTAAAAACAAACCTGTTTGGTTTTTACTGCAGAGTAGAAAAATTTTAAGGAGAAACTGAGAGCTACAACGTCCTCCTTATAATCTAGAATTTCTGGCAACATCTGGGGAGGCAGGAGATCGGGAGGTAAATCCTTGACCTCAGAAAGCCAAGTCAGAGCCATCGACCCAGAGCTCACACCCCATGGGATGAAAGTGCAAAGATACTCTGGGGCCGACGTGAACAGGGGCTCTTCCTCAGCGCTGCTCTCTTTGTGGCCAGCTCGGATTCCCCACCAGTCTGAACCGTGGAGGTGAGGACATCCACGCCCAGGCCTGCCTCGTGTTCACCTCTTCACACGCCGGCCCTCCTCCCTTCCAGACAGCACCGGCTGGGAACACACACGCCTGAGTCAGGCCTGCGCGCGGGACCGCACATATCCCTGCCCCGGCACCCCAGCCCACGCTCTCTTACGGTGATGGCTAACGCGGGGAAAGGAAGCTGGTGGAACTCATTTATGGAAATGCCAAATATTCCGTGCTCCAAAGATTAGTAGGTATTTGTAGCCAGCTGAGCTGCGAGTATCCCTTGGGGTGGGCACTGACTGATGGATCGTGTCAAGGTTTAATCTGCTGCACACACAAGCAAGGGAGAAGCAGAGGTTGTGCTTTCAAAAGAGGACATGGCTTTAGAAGCTGCTCAGATTGTATGAGAACGCACGGTCACAAGCTGGCAAACTTTAATAGTGGATATGTACCACACGGTTGCCATTTGAGACTGGAGAACCTTTCACCTTCCCAGGCAAAACGACCATTATTAATTATTTCCATTTAGGAAATACTCTGATTGAAGAATGCAGGATGAAGTGGTAAAGTTTAGGATCGAGCAGGGTGAGGGCACATTCAGGAAGAACTGGGAAGCTGGGGAACGTGTATCAAGAAAAACACGCTGGACAAAAGCTGGGGGAAAACCAAGAGGCATAATCTGGCTATTTTATACTCTAATAACTGTGGTGGAAACCCAATTCATCTGGCCAGCACAATACGACCTTTTTATACAGATAAATCAGATCAGTAACTTCGGCTATAAAAGTTATAAAAATAGTCTCCAAAACAGATATTGTTATTCTGTATCTTCAAATGAACAGAAATAGCACGTAACAGCATTCTCTGAAGACATCTCTATTCTTAAATAAACTACTCACAGATAACAGCCAACATTTTTTCCCCCTCTAAATGGAGGTGGTAAAATGGGAGTTGAGTGACAAAAAGTATAGATAATTTAGGGCAAAATAAAATTGTCTGCAAGCAATTACCCCAGAAACAGGAGTGACTAGCTCAGCAGCTTGAATGGAAGAGTTAATTTACAAGAAATCAGTCTGGACATCTGGAGAATCTGAATGGTACTATGACGTAGGGCAGAGGGAAAGCAGAGCGAACATCTAACAGGCCTTTAGAGGAACAGTTCAATCCAGCCTGGGGCCACAAACCCTGGGAAGATTTAACCATCATGGCATGGTTATGCTATGAGACGATTTTAACATAAGCAATTTCTAACATTATTTCATTACAACGTATTTTTCCTGAGAACTGAAAATAACCGAACTATTGCTGAGCTACCGCCAAGACATTTCCAGCCGGTCTTGCTACTAAACACTGCATATATGGAGCCACAGGCTGAGACTACCTGTGCAAATAACACGCAACTCCTTTGCCTGGCTCACTGTATTCGATACTGAAATTCCAGCACTCACTTGTGTAAAAAATCTTGTTCAGATCCCTGCTCCGACTCGTGCTCCTGGATCTGCTCTCCCATTTGTCTAGTGTTCTCTCTCAAGACAGTGGAGGTGAGCTGCGGAGCTTGCAGTGTCCCTGGAGTATGTATGTTTTCATTCCGGTTCAGCCAGGAGCCTTCCAGGCTCTCATCTAGGAAGAGAACGTTTCAGATCACCGACGCGGCTCTGACAATTCGCAGCGCAGCACTACTGCCTTCAGGGCTCGGGCAGCCAACTCACGCAACGGCCACCGTGCATCAGCAACGAGAGCCCTCCGTCTACCGACACGCTTCCGTACAGTTCACATGACTTGTGGCACCTTCTCCAAATTTGTATTTCCGACAGTTTCATGTCTTTTAAAGCAAGGGTGCCTTTAAGAGATCAGCTGGACAAACACTCAAAATGATAAATTTTCCACTCTAATGTTATTTTATGCTCTTTTAAGGAAGGAATACTACCAGCGATTCTGAGCAATAACAATAAATCAAAGTAAAAATATTAAACAAACCCAACGCTGCAAACAAATACTGTATCGTAGCACTACCTAAAATTGCCGGGTGTCTTGCACACATATAACAAAGATAATTCCCAGTTACTGAGTTTACCATCTGAATAGAAGACTGTTAATCTCATATGCATACAGAAAACAAGATACAGATTCGGGTGGAGGATAAACCCCAAAATGTGGCCAGCACAGCTCTTTAGAAACTTCTGTAAGAACCATTTTGGTGGAGTAGAGAGGGGGAATTTTACCTAAGAGGAGTGGTCTGGCTGGTGCGGATGCTGGAGAGTGACTTCAGCCAGCGAGTTTGGAGCAGATGGAAGGAAGGGAGATGGAAGGCGACTGCAGGGGGAAGTGGGATGCTGTGCTCATGCTGTGAAGGGAGCAAACCCGAGAGGAAGGAAGAGGGGGGACTTGAGGAGAATGTGACAGAGCAGACACGCGTGCAGGCAAGAGACATGTAAAAAAAACACGTAAGTTGCTGGAGGAGCTGAAAGACAGTGGAGATGACAAGAGAGGGGAAGACACGATCATGGATTTACTAACAGGAGGAAACGCGTGGTGAGAAAGTAGATGGGGATCCCAATGGATCTTTTCATTTTTTCTATGCCTTTCATTACCCTTTGGGCATGAATGTTGTCTAAAAAGTTGCCTAGTTATTCTTGAATTTAATTTGAACCTTTTATAACGCTAGGGAATTCTTTTTTAAAATCCTATTTATGCTTGATTTCCTTAAGGCATTGTGAAGAAAGGTCACAGAGCAGATTTATTTTCAGTCAGAA